CCGCATACGATAACTTCCGTTTTTACGGCCTGTCCCCGGCCTCTGCAACGCACCCTTTTGCGCCGACGCACCAAATCCCTCTTCGCTACCGACACGGTGTACCTTACGCTAAGCGCCGCACCACATGGCGCAAAAAAAGAAAGAAAAAGAAGCAAAGGCCACGTGCAGCGGCAAAACGAATCGAATTCGGCCTGCCACGCCATAAATCGTCCCGGCACGCGCGCTGCGGCGACCGCCGGTCCCTCGGTAGCGGTGGTCCCTATCGTCGATGTGGCGTTTATAAATCGCGCCGGGCCAGCCTGTTCCCTCGCCCGCTATTATGTGCCGCGCGGGGCGGCAGTAGCAACCGCGATTCGACACATACGTGGGTGCGCGACACTCTCCGCAACCTCCTTAGCGGGCTATACGGTACGAAGAGAGGACGCCGCCTGATAGACGACATCCCATTGCGGCGCCCCCGGAAGAGACGTCGACGTGCCCGTCAATCGGGGTCAGCCGGCAACGTTCTGGCGCGTCACGTGAACACGACCGCGGGGCAGACAGTCTACCCCCCTTTTACCTTCTTTCACGTTTGGTCTTTCACCCGGAAGCGCCTGGAGTGAGAGAAGGCCCATCGATGATGCCTCGAAGCCTTTCTGCTCCCGCGAGGAGCGAGCGAGACGTCATTGTGACACTCCTTCCGAACGCTTTTACGAACAGCCGACGAGAGTCTAGCTCGCGGTTCGTTTTTCGAGAGCTGTCACGCACAGGCACGCACGACCGCTGGCGGAGGAGGACGTGACGGCGTAAGCGGTGGGCGACTTCGAAACGACCTCGACGAAGGAGGCTGAAGAGGAAGACCAGACGGATGCCTTGGAGGGCGCGGAAGACGCACGGTTGTCCTTCCAATCAACAGAGACACTTTTCACTCTTGACGCACTTCGCCGAGCACACATGACTCGCTCGCTGGATTCCGTGATTGCCGACCGGTTGTGCCCTCGCGATCTCCGACGACGGTGCAGCTCTAGCCGACTGGGTTGGTCCTACGCCACCTCCTGTCCCCGACAAGAGCCCTTGCCGGTGGTGCCCCGTCCTCGGACACCTGCAACCGTGTCCATCTTTCTCGTCTTCTCCTTACTTCCATCGTCCGCTGTCCCTGCGCCTCCTTTCTCCTTCCCCTCCCTCTATCTTTCTACCTTTAAATGCTATCCTTTTGATGATGATATGTGGGGTCTAACGTCTGAAACCACTTAATGATTATGAGAAACGTCGTAAGTGGAGGGCTCCGGAAATTTCGACCACCTGAGGTTCTTAGTGTGCACTCAAATCTGAAATCTTATCCTTTTATACCCTTTTCTACCCCCATCCCTCGTGAGCTACTGTTGAGATGTCCTCCCCCTGAGAGACAGTTACGGGGCTCGCTTTTCTGTTCTTTTCATTTAAAATCACTCCGCCCCCCCCCCCCCCCCCCCGCACACATAGAGCTGACCGCCATGGTCGTTTAGCGAAAGAAGTAGCGGCGGAAAGGACCAATGTCAATCATAACGTGCTCTTATGCAAATGAGGTTTATAGAGCATTTTATTTTATCCACGAAAATCTGCCACACTGCACTTCCTCTTTCGTACCAGATACAGAAACTACGTCCATTACCTAGACAGGCATCTCATTTATTCTTTGTCGTTGAGCAACATCCCCAAGGCTGTCAAGCGAAATTACATATACGTTTGCAGAGTTGCAAATATAGTTTCTAACATGTCGCTGCACCGAGACGAAGAATATTCTTGCTAAGTCACTGCAGCTTTCGAGAAATTAAACGTATACCGCAGGCTGTTTGAACACTGCAATAACCCACCGCACCGTAATAGACCACCACACTGTAATGACGCCGTGGTGGTCTAGTGGCTAAGGTACTCGGCTGGTGACCCGCAGGTCGCGGGATCGAATGCCGGCTGCGGCGGCTGCATTTTAGTAGAATGCTGTAGGCCCGTGTGTTCAGATTGGGGCGCACGTTAAAAAGCCCTAGGTGATCGAAATTTCCGGAGCCCTCCACTATACGTCTCTCATAATAATATGGTGGTTTCGGGACGTTAAACTCCACAGATCAGATCACTGTAATAACCCAATGTAAGGCAAAGTGAGAAGTGTAATCAACTTATTTAACAAGGCTACGCTTCACGTATGCACATGGAAGGGCTTCAGTTCCCAGCCAGACTGAACTATACGTATACACATGATCCTGAATTACGTGCGTTGCACGCCTATACGCATGTATTTGTGGACAGCTCCCATTTAAACATTGACGAGTAAGCGATTTGATGCATCAGGTCTTCAAGAACGGAGGGCGCTTAAGGTGCAGAACGGGGTCGTAGAGAACGCGCGAGGAACAGAGAGGCCACCAGCCGCGACGTGGTATACGCATACACGTTTGATGCCGTCAGTATCAAAACGCGAAAAAAAAAAATTTCAGCCTTCCCTTCCCGTCTGAACGCCCCCAAAGACGTGCAAGTCTATCACGTCAGTCGCCTCGTCAAATTCACATTACGGGCACGACAGGACCTTCGAAGAAGAAGCCTTAAACTGTACGCATACCAGCACCAACTTTTTTTTTTTTTTATGTGGGGTTTAACGTCCCAAAACCACGACATGATTATGTGAGACGCCGTAGTGGAGGGAAATTCCGACCACCTGGAGTTCTTTAACGTGCACCCAAATCTGAGCACACGGGCCTACAGCATTCCCGCCTCCATCGGAAATGCAGCCGCCGCAGTCGGGATTCGATCCAGCGACCTGAGGGTCAGCAGCCGAGTACCTTAGCCACTAGACCACCGCGGCGGGGCCAGCGCCGACTTTCGAAGACAACCAGAAGGCACTTCGACAAACACCCAAAGTGTTGCGGGGAAAAACGTGAACGAACGTAAGCAAACGAGAGAAAGAAAAGAGGTCGACCAGGACAGCTTATCAGTCAGCAGCAGAAAGAGCCTAACTTGAAGGAAAGGTCGCTCGGTAAGTGCACTTCCGTCTCCCGCCATTCGTGTCTGCACACACAAAAAAGCAAATCAGCGCAACGGCCGGTGCGCTTTCATAAAAGGAGGCGCCGGGTGCGGAAGGGGCCAGCCCCAGCCCTTTCTTTGGCGCGACTGCGTGATTTCGATCCGCTCGCTGGCTCCGCGAAGCCTTTCACCACTTCCAAAGCGCGCGCGAAATGCGGTTGCGGGCAGGAGAGAACGCCGAGGCGGTAGAAGGGAATTTCCTTCTACCGCCTCGGTAGAAGGAATAAACAGAAAGCAAATAGAAATAAACAAGACGCGTCTACCCATATGATAAGCCCGGTTCTTTTTTTTTTTTCGTTTTTACCTTAGCGAAGGTCAGCGTTCAACGATCGCATACAATGCAAGTATGGGCAAGATGTAACAGCCGTACAGGGAATTAACGATACGTCACGTTTCGCTATTCAACTGTTCACTACTACTACACTACACTAGCAGAGAAGGAAAATTGTTGACCAGGGTATCCTTTCTTTTTTCCCCTCTTCAGTTCATCTTCCCCTGGTCTTCTACCTTATTTAGATTGCGAATGGGACACAGAAAAAGAAGAGACGCAATACACATAGATGAATGAATGAATAAATAAGCCAAATGCAATCACCATCTCGCCTACATCCACCCTTCTGAGGTAGTGCACCGTTTGGGTTGCCAGTGCTGCCGTGTACCGACTGGTACTTCTAATAGGGAGAGCTGGCCGGCGCTCAGCGACGTGGGCACATATCGATAAGGTGCATGACCTCCTCTGTCCTTTTGTTCTTATCGTACGGAAGCAGCGACGCTAAGCAATGTTTCCCTGCGGGTTACAGAAAAATAAGCTCATCTTCAAACCTCAGAACACCATCAAGGACAATGAATGCCTCACTGTTGGTTCGTAGAGCGATATATTCGAGGGAGTGTCACCTGGCCCCGCCCACTAACCCTGTTAACTGCTCGTCACGTGGAGTTGTCGGCAGTCAAGGTCGAATTGCTCTACCAAGGGAGAGAGAGAGAGAACTTTATTGATGGTATAGCAAGGTCGGTAAACTTAATTTGCCGGTGGTTCGAAGGGTGGTGGCCAAAAGCTTGCCACGACCGTTTCGGCCCAGTTAACCACTTCTGCCTGGAGACGGTAGTCAGCTGACGACAGGAGCGACTCCCACGCCTCGAGGGAGGAAGCTGGCAGTATTGTTCTTTGCGGGGGGTTACCCTCGCATTCCCGAAGAATGCGATTTCGGGTATAGCTTTCACGTAGCTGCAACGTCGGCACTTTGGTGTAATCTCTTCTGGATAAATTTTAGACAGCCGATGAGGGCTGGGCAAAGAATCTGTTTGGATTTGCCTCCAGATCGTGGCCTGTTCCCTTGACATATACGAAAGAATCATCCGCGACAAATCAACGCGCGTCATCTCGTTTCAGAATCAGCACCTTCCACTTCCAATAAAGCGCGCATTTTCCCGGCAAGGCTGCACAGCAATGTAGATGGATGTATGGATGACTTCATTGTGGTGGCCTCCATGAAGCCAATGTTTACATCCCTACCGCCATTAACAATAATAAAAAAAACGAAAGAGAGGATATACACACTTTGTGCCAACAAAGCTACGGTAACAGAGGTACAGCTGTGCAGCTATGACGTACGAGCTGTTGGAATAATAACGCTATATTCCGGCGCTTCGCACCTGCTACACGTTTATTCACGCTTTACGCGGGTAAGCCATCTGCAGCGCAACGGGCTGAGGCACCCTACGCGTTAGGCGAAATGCGCGTGAATCCGGGCGCAAAGCCAGTCATTCACGTACGGGTGATTTCTGAATGACGGTCTGTTAATCGTTTTCGTCAAACACTCATGTCGTCCTACACCAACTTTGGCATATACCAAGTTATGAAGACGCAAAGCCAGCCATTCATATATGCATGGTTTCTAAATGACAGGCGCACGAGAAGAGCGGCATACTGCAAATAAATTCACAATGTTAACAAAAAAAAAATCGCTTACATGTTCAATGACGCCGAAGAAAAGTCCAGTTCCCACCGTGGCGCGCACACTTCTCTGAACACCGTGCCTCCAACCTGAAATCCGTGAGAATCCATCAAAAGGCAGAACCGTTGAAAATGACTCGCGACAGAATTTGTGGGCAAAATATTGTTTTTGAAGTAGACACATCTACAACGATACAACCTGAATACAATGAAGGATACCTTATGTGCCGGATATTTTCCAGCATTATACGGCGCCTGACTTTCCCCAAGACGAAGCAACTTGTAAATACAACGAAATGTTTTCAAAATATCGAACGCCGTTACAAAGACGCTTAAGTACAACAGGACGCCATAGCACAATCTATCATTCATGGAAGAACCCACGAGAGAAGTCCAACGCCATATATTTTTAACAGAATTAATGTATATGCAACATTATGTAACAAAACTGTACGTATAGGTCCGCCATGCAATCGCACCTATACGCCGCGAAGCCGCATTGCCTGTTTTACAGGCGACATGCCCAGCGTGTCTGATTGACAACCCTGTCGCGTTGCCGACCGGCGTTAAACTCGACTGCCGACCGATCACCAGCGACAGTCCAGTTCTCTGCGGCAGCGGCGTAGTACAAACGAGCATGATCTCCGCAGTGCACGGTTGACAGCGACATACAGAAGGTGGTGTTGTGGTGGTGAAAAACATTCATTCATACTATTTACAAGTAAGAGATAGGGGCGGCCTTAAGGCCGGACCCTGTATAAAAGGCGGACGCGACACCAAAACGTAACGCATCTTACAGGCGCTGCTCATACAGTAACTGTCCCTTTATTCACTATAAAACGGCAACCGTCCTTTTTATTCCCTCTCGGACGCCATTTCCTCAAAGAATAGTCCCTTGAGAACGCGCACAGCGTTCAACAAGAAAATCCTTTCCATTTGAATGAAAGAAAAAAGAAACGCTGCCATAAACAACGCATAGCGTAGTGTCGAAAAAGAAAGCAACCGCCCCGCCCGCCCTCCGGCTCGACGAGCGCTTCCCGGCGAACGTGTCGCCATCACGGCCCGAATGCGCGAGAAAAAGCGACTAACACGGCCCATCATGCACTTGTTTCACACGAGAAGCTTCTCACGAAAGGCATGCTTCTTTCAATGAGCGTAACGCACGGCTCCAAACAATGCGAACGCGCGCAAAAGAAGAAAAAAAAAAAGGCATCACGTGACATAACGCACCAGCACGTATATATACATACTGTGCACTATGTACCTCTACCCGGTCTGCCACGTATACAACGCGGGCGAGCGTCCGTTTCCGGGCGGTGGCAAGGTGCACGTAGAGAGAAGCGTAATACACCGACGCACGAGCAGCGCACGCATCCCTCGGCAAGTGCCGTCGTTGAAAGAGAAAGCGGCGAGGACGCCAAGTACACGCGTTCGTTAGCGCGCCGCCATCGACGACGAGGCCCACGCAGCGCGCCCCGATCATCAAGGGCGGGGCCAGGGACGACGCGCCGTCCGTCATACGCCCACACGATGGCGAAGAACAGCGTTGACATCACGCGCTATAAAAGGACGGGGACATTCCCACGCTCAGAAAGCACGTTCAAGCTTATACGGGGGAGGGGGGGGGGGTGCGTCGAAAAATACGTGGACAGCGTATACACGTATACAGAAAAATGGTCTGGGTACTACGATCAACTATGAACAGCGTACAGTCGCGTTCAATAAGGCTTGCAACACGATGTCTGTACGGGCTCTAAAATGGCGCAAACACTGCCAACCAGCACTTATACATAGAAAAACCCATAGTGAATTGAACTCTCTCAGTTACTTTCTGAACCAAATTTACGTTTGTCAGGGACATTGTTCAGGCTTGGGGTCCCTTTACCACAAGCCAACGTGTTGTAACTCATACTGAATGCGACTGTATATACGGTGGCGAGAAAAAAATAGCACGGCACCAGTAAAATGGATATATATATATATATATATATATATATATATATATATATATATATATATATATATATATATATATATATATATATATATATGGGATATGGCACAACGGGAGCGTTGTCAACAAGGATAAATATATTTATTTCCCAACAGTTTCGGGAGGGGACCTCCCTTCATCAGGGGATGAGTTATATATATATATATATATATATATATATATATATATATATATATATATATATATATATATATATATATATATATATATAAAGTGCGCAGCTAAAAAATGTAAATTTGCTTTCATGCACTGCATCGAACTAACATCGGCACTTCGGCTGGACCACTCGCCGTCAATTATACCACACTTAAGCTGCAAGTTATAATTTTTCTCCGCGGCACAAATTCAATCGCAAGCTTTCGCTCTGACCGTATAAAAATGTTCGACGAAGTGACACATGACAGAACTATATGTATGTTATATCACGGTTGAGCGTTTGCTTTAGGCAGCTTTAAGTGTGCAGCCGGCCGGCCGAGTCGCTTGAGAACGTTCGCGCCCTTTTCAACACGAAAGTGTTTTATGCCGGGGTCCACTACAGCTCCGCTGACGTACTTCCGTCACGGAAGTGACGAATATTCTGTCTGCCATCCTTCTTGAGCTATTGGGTTTTTTTACGGTAAGAATTCAACACCAACAAGCACACCTACAGATCATATTGCTATGGCAGCCAGACGGAAGCCTGCATTTCTGCACATGCATTCCGATATTAGTATACGGCTGCAAAGAACACGATGGCTCAGGTGACAAACTGCACAAGCATTTGAGCGATAAAATTGACAAAAATGCACACGGCACGATTCCAAACATATTAGGCAATCATAAAATAAACGATATAAAAGTGCTCCATTTCGAAACAGATTTCGTATACAAGCTTCGGTATATTTGTACTTTAGTACTAATTCGTCTTCCGAGTGGAAGATCCTTTTTAGCAAGAATGTGGTGCGCGAAGCTCGCAACTGTATACAGAATGCGGATACTACCGACGTCAAGGAACAAGCCCTTGACGAGCGTAAGTAATCACTATAGCATGCCATTATGGCCACCGCGTGTCATTACACCTAATCGCTGGCCGACGGGACATCTTACGCATAATGATGACGGCAGGAGCAAAGCGTCTAACTGCATAGTCGTGCCATAACCAACTACGAGTCTGAACCAGCGTTTCGTAAGCAGGACCTGAAAAGAGAGACCCGACACAACGTCGATATTCGAACATAACCCGAGCCCATGCTCATAAACAAAATGGCTGAACAGCGCAAAACACGGGACCGCGAACCGCAGAGGACACAGCTCTGTGTAACACTGCATTGTGTAAACTTTTTTTCGCGATAGATAGTGCCGCCGGCCGGCCGAGTCACTGGAGAACGTTCGCACCCTTTTTAACACGAAAGTGTTTCATGCCGGGGTCCACCACGGCTCCGCTGACGTGCTTCCATCACGGAAGTGACGTTGAAAGATATATACTAAGAGATTGCAAAGAAAAAATTGGCCCCGTATCTGCATGGTAATCTGCAAATGTCGTCGAAAGACGATGGTCTTGCATGTGGAGAGAGTGAACAAAACATTTATTTGGTGTTCTGCGCAAGAAAATCGGTGAATGGTATTCTGGAGGCGCTGCGTTAGTATGCCTCCATCGTGCAGCGGAGGCGAACGAGCGTATCAAGTCACGTCACACGTGAGATATGAGCACCATTTTTGGTAGTTTTCTTAGAAAACAAAGCGCATGGCTCTGAGACGGGTGCGCGCGCCCATCTCAGAGGCGATAAGGTGTAGAACGGAAGGCGACGGGTAGGTGCCACCACCATCTCGTCTTAGCAAAGCGTTGGAAACACTCGCATTTTCGTGCAAGCATTGCATGGTCAGCGCAGCATGATAAGCCCTACGGTCCTTAAAATTACTTATATGTGCCTTTTCTAGTAAAAGACACACATGCAGAATATATTCGTGTTGTTATGGTGCCCCCAGACATGCTCAATAATTGCTTTTTAATTGACAATTGCACAGGTATGAACGCTGAATCTTGAGCAACATTGGTGGGCGCTGCGGATGGGGTCGGCCGTTTCAAGTACCCGATGCGGTTAAGAGTAGACAAACCGACAAATGGACAGACAGACAGACTAAATTTTTTTGCGTTGAAGGTCCCCAAGAAAGACTATCGTCTTAAAAAAAAAAAAAAAACCCGAGGTAAAGCATATGTAGCGCGGGATCGAACCAACAAACTCCATTCTGAGCGCGCGGCGATAACCACTACACCACGGCGCGCCACGGTGCGTACGTTATCTGTACTGCTAACCGCAAGCCATTTATATACAGCATACACCATTCGGCAGTCCTCAGGACTTGGGAACTTTAGCGCGTTTTCGTTATCAGTGGCGATATGGCGCGACGAGCTCGCATCGGGCGCCCTCTAAAGGTCATTGCCTCCACGAAGCACCACCTCTACGGAGCGTGGTCTCTTTCGCGCGCGTGCGCGCTTATCAGACTCGTAATTCGGGAAAGGACGAAAGTCACTTCGCACGCTGCCACGGCCGCGTTAACGAAAGGAGCCCGCTGCTGACGCACGACGCAGGAAGAAGTGTGACAGTAGTTCGCGCTTGTCCTGTGTATACTTGTACGCTCGTTTCGTACGTCTTTCTGTTTGAACAGCACTTTAAGTCGAGCTGTGACAGTTGTTAGTCCGCACTGGTCCTGTGTATATGCTAATTTCGTTCAAGCTTGCTGCTTGAAGTTTCGCCTGCTTACTGCTTGAAGTGCAGTTGCAAGTTTCGAGTTTCTTACGGTTCTTAACGTGACTTCGAAGTTTGTTGGTGTTGCTGAAACAATGCACAAAAAAAATCGGAATTCCACGCACCTGGGAACTAACGTTATGCGAAGCATGCAGAGGGAACGTGGCCGTATTGTAATTTTTTTATTGAGCGACACATGACGAATTGACGATAAATATATGGACAAATGTTGCACGCAAATAAATAAAATGATTGGTTGATATGTGGGGTTTAACGTCCCAAAACCACCATATGATTATGAGAGACGCCGTAGTGGAGGGCTCTGGAAATTTCGACCACCTGGGGTTCTT